CTACTTGGCTTGAGGTTACACAAATGACAAGGGGAAAAAAAAAAAGTGAATAACTCATTTTAGTTCAAGCCGAATTCAAGTGACCTTCCACTCACAGAACACTGAAATAAAACGYAACAACGAGGTAGGGGCCACTCCTACACTCCTAAAAATCTTTGACTGGGTAACAACTTGGTAGATCAAAGAAAACAAACAAAAAAGAAAACAAAACRAAAAATTACACTTCTGATATTGTGGCTTTATATGGAGTCGCATAAAACAACTACATGCAATATGCATGTGTCAATGTTTACAGATATATTTTCAGGTTCTGGTATAACATAGCTTTGCTAAAAAAAGACAGTATGGAAGCTGACTCACCTCCAGCAACTTATGAGATTGCAGATCAAGGAAATCATAAAACACACCATGAAGCTCGCAAAAAAAAGAAAAAAAAATCCACTTCCCCCTCCCCACCACATTCTCCATTATGAGTATATTTACATGCCAGACTRGAAGTAAATTATTCTAGAGCCTGTGGCTCAGCCATTAGCATTTAAAAGCAGCGAAGAAGTAAAGGTGAGTCGCGCTGTTTGTACATGTTAGATTCCTCGCTATTAAGGAGCATGCAAGAACACTGTTTTTTTTTGTTTGCGGTGCTGTTGCTGACCCACGGCCGGGGCTCGGCGGCCTCCCGGGGGTCACACGTCCCGGGGGTCACACGTCCCGGGGGTCCACAGCCCACGGGGGCTCACGCGAGGCCCGGCCGCCCCCCGCAGCGCTGCGGGCCGGCACCCCAAGGGCCCCACAGGCCGCCTGAGGGAAAGCGGGGGGCGCAGGGGAAGGTCGGGCCCCAGCGAGACGCCAACGGGAAACGGGGCCACATAAATGAGGGGAAAAGGGGTCTCTGGAAGAAACCCCGTGTCCGAGCGCGGCCTGGGGGCTCGGCGGGAAGGAGACCCCCGTACCGCTGCGGCCGGGCGCGGAACTCGGGGCGGCCCTTGCTTTGCGGCGTCGCCCGAACCTCCATCCCCGGCAGCGGAGCGGGAAGCGGCTGCCAACAACAACCAGCGCGAGCGGAGGAGCCCGCGCAGCGGGGACGGGGCTGCTCCCCGCTCCGCCGCACGTAACGGCCGGCCCAGGCCCAGGCCGGACCCCCCTTCCCCACGCCGCCCGGCAGCCCCGCGTCCCTTCACCTCTTGAAGTCGCGCATGAGCCTGCGGCGCGCCGGGGTGGACATGGCAAGCGGAGCGCGGAGGAGCCGCCTCCCCGCTGCACAAACAAGCCGCAATGGCGTCGCCTCCGCGGGGCGGGGCGGGGCGGGGCGCCGCACGCGCGGGCAGCGCCGGCGGGGGGGCGGGGCGGGGCGGTCCATCCCTCCCCCGCGGAGGGGGGAGCAGCGATGGCGCCGCCCCCGGCACGTACCACGTGCCGCCGCGGGGGGAGCCGCGGGCACACGCGCCTCGGCGCTCGGGGCGAGGTTGTCGCGGGTGAGAGCGCGGCTCGGCTTCGTAACCTGGTTGCTACCGCCTAAGTGGAGCCCCAGGATGTGAATGGGCACAGAAAGGGTGAGGGGGCAATGGTGAACCTGTCTGAGGCTGCTGGAAGGGCTCGCTTGCTTGGCGTAGGAAAACAAGCACAGGCACAAATCCCTTCTATAAATACATCCGAGAGGCTGAGGAGACGGGAGCTAATTTAAACTAAATGACAATACTGGCAGAAGAACAAATGGGCATCAGGTTGCTCAAGAATCATTTTAGGGAGATACTTCTGCTCCCATTACTTGCTTTCCAAAACAGACTGGTGGAGAACCAGGAAATTGTGCTGATTCCTTGCACTTTTTTTTAATCCACATAACTCCAGCAGACTAGAGCAGACCTCTTTGAAACCACGACCTTATTCTTATTCGGAGCCTTGGAAGGCGGCCTCGGAACCCAGATTTGTGTGGTGACATGTGCCTCCGCACTTTGCTTTCGGGAGTATTTAGGGAGATGATCAACATCACGAGACTCATAATGAAGTGACAGAAATAAATCCCGTCTTCATCCTTTTGCCCGTTTCCTCGCCTGCGGCTCTCCATGTGCTCGCAGTGCTGACCTTTGGTTTCGGGTGGCACACAAGCTGCTCGCTGCTCTTCACTCGACAGCAGCTTTCAGAACCTCATGGGCACTGGCTGAGCACAGCACTGGGCTCAACTGGTGCTGCCCGTGGTTAAGGCTGAGCTTTTAACCTGCAAAAACTTAAGCCCTGAACGTGTCTTAACCTGTTGTACCATCTCAGTGAGAACACTAAGATGCTAAAAAGTGAGGCAAAGGATTCACAAACCAGAGGCCTGATTTTACATAGAGTGAGCAATTTGGAAGAGGGTCAGTAATGAGAAACTCCTCTTGGGCAGGTTCGTTCTTCATTTCCCTCTCATCAGAACGGTGTTATTCCCTGCATTCCCTGCAGCCTCCTTTCCCAGATTGCCCTCCTTCGCCCATTACACACACCCCATGCCAGTYGCCCATCTTCAGGCAGTTTATATTTAGCATAAGGGAGATGGCAGACTACAAAACAGGAGCAAGCTTGGGCCTGTGTAACCCATCAGCACAGGTTTAACAGCATCATTATTTCGCTTTTACCATGCTCTCCGCCACAGCTGTGCAGACAGGGCACTAAGAGCATCCCCTGCCCCAAGGGCAGCTCGCTCCCCTTTGAAGCCTGAGCCACCCCACACATATCCACACCTCCACTCCAGGGCAACATTCACTCCCTGCACAGAAAAACCCTTACAGGACAAGGTGAGATGTTAGTCCCCAAATCCTAACATGTCTTATTGACTGTAGGAATCAATCTGGCCCTTGCCAAGTCCCTATCCTTCTTTAAACAGACATAGGTGCCAGGTCAGATGGGCAAAGYGGGACACGGAGACGTGTCCAAGCAGCAGAGGGCACTGACGAGCTGCCCAGCTCCACAGCACCAAAGCAGAAAGGCCAGACAAATTACACAAAACAGGACGGTCTCATGTTTATTAGCATTATCTAATTATCCTTTATAAACCAAGAAGCTTGGAAAATAACAGGGAAACAAAACTACTTACCTTTACATTCGTCAAGACAGTCCAGCTTCCTAGCAACTTTTTTTCCTCCCCTTCCAGGTCACTCTCTCCGATGCTGCAGTGGCCCTCTGGGAAGATTTATTATTAACATTGGCCAAATCCGAGAACCTAAAATTAGAGAAATGAACAAGCCAAGCTGTGCATTAGAATCTGCTTCTGTTCCCGTTCCTTGCCCTGGCAGCTCAGCAGCCTCCTGCAGAGGTGCCAAACAGTCCTCAGGAGAGATTATTCCTGTTCCAAAGCTTTCACCAACAAGGATAACCCAGCAGAGCCCATGGCAAAACTCTTGCTCACCCTACCCCATTGCAGGAGGAGGTGGTATCAAAAATAGACACCAGAAAAGAAAGGTGAGTGGCTTATTTGGTCCACAAAGCAGCAGAAACAATTGCCATCCTCTGAACCCCTGTAACCTACTGACTGAAGGGGGGTTCTGCATCACATCCCAATTACCAGCCTTGCCTTTTAGGGTCTCTGAACCTTGGTTTGCCTGGTGCTGATACTGTAATCCTAATTCATTATTCAAGTTTTCAGGAAAAAAATACAAGATTCAGGATAAATCTTTGTGCAGCCCTACTTACTGCATCCTCCTATTCTGGCAGTAAACTGTTGATAATTCTTCTTCAAACATAATACAATTAGATATGCCCCCTCTTAAGAAGAGATGTATTTAAGTAATAATATAAAGAAAAAAAACCCCAGCATTTCCCTCAAAACATACCACCTAGAGCAGGAAGCATGGTCAAAACTACAGAAAGCAGCAGATTCCACACCTGCCTCCCCTGAGCCAGCCATGTGGCCACGATGACTATTTAATACTTGCTCATGGTGACACTGCTCCAGGTTGCTCCCTCTGCTTGGCGCAGCGCCCCCCTCACTGCAGTGCTTTTCACAGAGAAGAAAAAAAGGAAGAAAAAAA